TATAGTTTAATAGATTTTTAAGAGAAAACCTATTATTATCCTTAATTAAAAAATCAATATCCTTATACAAAAGCTCTTGTTCAAGCAATGCAATGTTAACGACTTCCTGTATGTGTCTGTGTTGATCACAATGTTGAGAGTTCCATTGTTCAATAAGCTTCTCATTCTCTTTACATTTTTTCTTGTATAAATTATTAATTCGAATTATTTCTTCGCAGTATTCATTTAACCATTTTCTTAACTCTGATATTTCCTGTTTTTGGTCCTTTACCTGCCACTGCAATTCTAAATTCTTGTTCGTAAGTGCTACTGCATGCTCATTATTTTCTTGATTTTCTATTAGAATTTTATCTATCAAGACTTTTGTTGATTCGAACTCTGCCAACAAATACGACTCATCACTGTCGATTATCTCTTCGAAGGTAGAACTTGGTAATCTTTCCATTCTTTCAAACTCTACCTCTCTAGAACTGGAGCAAGAACCCGTTTGAGATCTTTTATTTTCTTGATCCGTGTGATCTACGTTCGAATTATCTAAAAGTTTTCGATAAAAAACATTTTTAGAAATAACTTCATTATAATGTATTTGACAAACAGAATGAGAATCTAAAGAAAGATCAACAAGTTCAGATATAAAATTATGATATAATGCAAGCCGCTCAGCTGCCTTTGGACCATTAGCATTTCGCTAGGTCTGGGATCTGCTTGTATTACAAGAACTTAATCCAAGATGTTCATAGTTACTAGCTATGCTAGCAAAAATGCAGGGAAGTTAGTCTGCTTTTGATTTTTGCTGAGTTGTTGAGTATTGCGACATCTTAAACTCTAGTAATTTTAGTGCACTGTTAGATAAAAAAAGGCTATATTTTAAATGTAAAATGAGTTTTTTTTGTAAATTTTAGGCTCTAGTTAACTTTTTTACAGAATGCGGATCACAAAGAGATCGCAAAAAATCACAAAACTAGAAGTTTTTTACTCCTAGTTTGAATAGTTAGATATTCCGGGGGACTATTATAAAAAGCTACAATTTTTGGCTGAAAAGGGCCAATATGGAATTGTAAGAGCCAATCAAATTTTAAAGAGTATTCTAAAATAGATTTCTAATTTTGATAATATCCCCGACTATATTAGAAAAGTAGTAATATTTTTTTATTTTACTTGCTTTTTAAAATTAGTAATTATTGTATAAAATAAATAAAA